TAAATGGTGCTGGGAAAACTGGACAGCCACATGCAAAGGAATGGAGCTGGACCACTAACTTACATAAGACACAAATTAACTCAAAATGGGTAAAAGACTTGAACGTAAGGCCTGAAATCATATCTCCTAAAGATCAGTCTTAGCAATGATTTTTTGCATCTGACACCCAAAGTAAAGGCAACAAAAAAACAAGTGAGATTACATAAAACTAAAAAGCTTCTGCACAGAAAAGGAAACCATTAAAAACACAACCTAATCAATAGGGGAAAATAATTTACAAATCATATATATGATAAGGGGTTAATATCATATATATATAACTCATACAACTCAATGGCAAAGAACCCAAAGAAAATCAATTTATAAAGGGATAGAGAATCTGAATAGATATTTCTTTAAAAGAACTTACGGATGCCCAACAGGTACATGAAATGGTGCTCAACATCACCAAATAATCAGGGAAATGCAAATCAAATCCACCCTGAACTATCACCTCACACCAGTTGGAATGTCTTATCAAAATGATGAGATAAGTGTTGGTGAGGATGTGGAAAAAGAGAACCCTTGTGGACTGTTGGTGGGCTTGTAAATTGGTGCCACTACTATAGAGAGCAGTTTGGAGGTTTCTCAAAAAAATTAAAAATAGAACTACTATGTGATCCAGCAGTTCCACTTCTGGGTATTTATCTGAAAACACCAACTCAAAAAGATATATGCCACCCCATGTTCATTGCAGCATTATTTACAATAGCCAAGTCATGGAAACAAGCTAAGTGTCCATCAGTGGATTAATGGATAAAGAAAATGAGACAGACACACACACACACACAGGAATATTACTCAGCCATTAAAGAAAAAGACATTTTGCCATTTGTAACAACACGTATGGATCTTGAGGGAATTATGCTAAGTGAAATTAGCCAGACAAAGAAAAGACAAATACTGTACGATCTCACTTATATGTGGAATCTCAGAAAACCTCGAAAAACAGGTTGGTGGTTTCCAGAGGTGGGGGTGGGCAATATCAGTGAAGGGGGTCAAAAGTTACAAACTTCCAGTAAGAAAATAAAGTCATGGAGATGTCATGTACAGCTTGGTGACTATAGTTAATAATAATACTGTATTGTATATTTTATGTTTAGAATAGATCTTAAAAGTTCTCAGAAGAAATATTTACAACTATGTATGGTGACAGATGTTAACTAGACTTATTGTGGTGATCATTTCACAATGTATACAAATATGGAATCATTATTGTTGTACACCTGAGATTAATATAATGTTATATGTCAATTATACCTTAATAAAAAAATCAGCATCCAAAGCTTTACTTCAGATCTGCTATATCAGAATTAGCAATTTTAACAGTATTCACAGGTGATTTACATTAAAGCCTGAGACATTATTTGCCTAGAGGGTTTTAGAAGAAATAAGAAGGGGGTGAGAGTATTTGATGGGAAAGACCTATTTTTCTCTTTTAGGAAAAATAATTACTGAGAATGATCAATGTGCACTGTATGTCCCCTTGATTGACCTCAATGATATAATACAGAAATTTCTCCCATGTGTAGCCAGATCTGTTCCCAATTGTCATTTCACAAGCTGCCAATAAGTGGAGAGCCTAAAAGCAGAGCTGCCTTGGGCTGAATGAGAGCTATCAGAAGTGGACTCTTCCAGGTAAGAGAAAGATGATATCCCCCAGGCGTCGGAGCAAGGGGGAGCTCATGCCTCTTTGATTATGAAGCACATACATTAGGTCACTGGAAGTAAGTGGGGGTTGGTAGAGGTGCCAAAAAGGAGCGTCTGGTCGAATGTGTTGACTGGCCAGCATGAACATTGTCCCCTGACTCACCTGGGACACAAATGACTTATGTGTTACAAGTAAATTCTGTGGCCACATTTCCCCAAATAACATCTGATCTTCATTAGAGATGGCACAGTGTATTAACCAGATAGGATTGTTCTCCAGAGAACACACCTCGGGGTGGGGGTGCGATATGAACACAGCAATGTGTGGATAGCCAGTTCCAACGAGTTTTGAGTTGCTAACTGGCCAAAAGCATCTAGTCGCATTAGTTCATACAATAACAAAAAGAATTAAGAGCCTTGTGGTTGTTTTGGGTTGGCCAAGCTGTTGTTCAGACAACAGCCACTCAGAAACTAAGCCCGATCAATCAGAAGGACCAGGCTACCAAGTAGCCCCAGCCCCCGACAAAGCACAGTAGTTGTTACCACACAGCTGATTATCAGTCCTGGAAGACAGATCTTAGATGCTCAGTAGGTCTCCAAATCAGTTGTGAACACACTACACACATTCTACCAGGTTGAAGATAGAGGCTTAAGTGGACACTGAGCTCGCTCCCTCCTAAGAGCACATAGAATGTACAACTGTCCCTATAGCACTTCCTCCTAAGAGACAACCCTGAGCCAATTGAACAGCTTTTGCACAATAAGCAAAAGAGAGAGACTGTGTAGAGAAGTTTGGGGAACTGTGAGAGTTCTCTGGAGCTGAGGAAAAAACTCAAGACGGGAGGAACGGCTGAGCACCAGAGTTGGTTTCCCCTGGGCGTGGATAACAGGCAGGAGCTCTAGCCAGATTCTCTGGCAGACATGCAGGGTGCTACAGTGTGTCCACAGCCTCTCCTCCTGCACCTAGACCAGCAGGAACAGGAGGGCTCCGTAACATGCATACAAGAGGCCCCTCCACCCAGAGATTGATCCAGCAAGTACGGCAGGGTGATGCTGTACATGTACACAGGACTCCCCCTCCCAGACAGAGTGCAGAGCTAGAAAAATGCTGCAGTCCCCACGAGCGGGGCTACCCTGTGCAGAGACAGTGGGTGCTACTATGTGCCATGTGGTGCTGCCCCCCTGCAGAGTGTGGAGCGAGTAATACGCTATGGTACCCACATGCAGGGCTGCCCCGTGTGGAGTGAGTGGGCTGCTGCTGGGAGAGAGAGCGGATAGCAGAGTGCAGCTGTGTGTGCACACAGGCTGCCCCACCCAGAGAATGAGTGCAGCTTAGGAGGGCATTCAGAGGCAAGCACACAGAGCAACCCTGCCCAGACCCTGCTCCGACAACAGATAATTAAGACAACAGGGCACACCAGCACTAGGCAGCCCTGCCCAAATTAGAGGGACAAGGGAGCATGCACACACCAGGCTGCCCAGAACCCACTCCTCAGGCCAGGCAACACAGTAGGCACCACATGCACCTGCCCTGACGACACATGGCCCAACAAAACTGTTGGACACACAGAGACCATCTTTTCAAGTCTGGGAGAGAGAGCTATTCCATCCAACCCATAGGGACAAATACAGAAGAACATGCCCCAAATGAAGGAACAAGAAAAAACTCCAGAGAAATTCCCTCGTGAAACGAAGTAATTTTCCTGGTACAGAATTCAAAGAGCCCTGGCCAGGTGGCTCAGTTGATGGAGTGTCATCCTGTACACCAAAAGGTTGCGGGTTTGATTCACAGTCAGGGCACATGCCCAGGTTGCATGTCCAATCCTCGGGAGGGGTGCATACGGGAGGTAACCAATTGATGTTTTTCTCTTACATCAATGTTTCACTCTCTCCCTTTCTCTCTAAAAATAAAAAAAAATGTGGGGACGTGAACAGACATCCAGGTCCAGGAAGCACAGAGAGTGCCAAACAAAATGAACCCAAAGAGACCCATAGTAAGACATATTGTAATTAAAATGGCAAAAGTAAAGATAAAGACACCGTCTTAAAGGAAGCAAGAATGAAATGAGTCACAAGGGAAAACTCATAAGGCTATCAGCTGATTTCACAGAAACAATTTTACATGCAAGAAGAGAGTGGATGGAAATATTCAAAGTGCTGAAAGTATAGTATCTACCACCTAGAATTTCCCTACGCAAAAATGAAAGGAGTTCACGACCACTAAACAGCCTTATAAGAAATGCTAAAGGATCTTCTTTATGCAGAAAGAAAAGGCCATAACCAGAAATAAGAAAATACAGGAAAGAAAAAAAAATCTTACTGGTAAAGGCAAATATATAATAACGACAGTAAATCAACCACTTAATAGCGGCGAAATTAACTATAAATACAATAAATAATCAGGGGATACACAAAACAAAAAGATTTAAACGTCAAAAATAAAGAATGGAAGTGGTGTAAAAATGTAGTGCTTTTAGAATGCAATTGAACTTCAATGCCTATCAGTTTAAAATAGACTGCTGTAGCTATAGATGGATATATATGAATCTTATGGTAACCATAAACCAAACCCATAAAAAACACACAAAAAACTAAGAGAAAGAAATCCAATCAAAACCCTAAAGAAAACCAACAAATCAAAGAAATCAAGAGCAGAGAACAACAACAAAATGGCAATAAGCACACACCTATCAATATATGTAAAGGGACTAGATGATCCAATCAAAAGACAGGGTGACAGAATGGATTAAAAAAATGACCCAATACACATGCTGCCTATAAGAGACTCATTTTAGATAGAAAGACACACATGGGAAAAGATATTTATGCATATAGAAATGAGAAGAAAGCTGGGGTAGCAATACTCATATCAGACAAAAATTATTTAAAACAAAGAATATAAAAAGAAAGACATTACATAATTTTAAAGGGGTTAATCCAAGAAGAGGATGTAACAGTCGTAAATATCTCTGCAGCCCACATAAGGGCACCCAAGAATATCAAGCAACTATTAATGGACATAAAGGCAGAAATTCACAGTAATACAATAATAGTTGGGGACTTTACTACTCCACTTACTTCAATGAACAGATCATCCGGACAGAAAATGAATTTGAAAATAATTGCTGTACGTGCCACATTAGACCAGTTTGACTTAATAACCGTTTAGAGAGCATTTCATCCCCAAACTTCAGATGACACATTGTTCTCAGTGAACATGAAACGTATTCCTGGAGAGATCACATACGAGGCACCTCCTACTGTTGCAGGGTCAGCACCCTGAGATTACCTGTCAAATACATTCCTCTCACCTGGCCCCAGCTCGAGAAGGCCCACTCCACACAGAGCTGTTGGTTACAGGCCTGGGTGTCCACCGGCCTCTTGGCAAGCTGTGTGCACATGTCATTGGACACGGGAGTGGAGATCCCAGAGGCTTTCAGCTTCTGGCAGGTCACCCGGCGGGTCTGGATGCCTCCCCCACAGCTCCGGGTACAGGCGGACCAGGAGGTCACCATCCACCTGTGGAGAGGAGGAGGTGTCAGTCTCGGGGAGAGGAATGAGGCTGTATGCTCTCAGGAAAAGAGCCCCCCCGCCCCCCCCGGCTCTCACCACACAGCTGCTCATTTGGGGGCCATGGCCCTTTTTACTGTATGTACTTGGAGTGATAGGCTGAAAATGGCCGCCCCAAAGAAACCTCCGGCAAATCCCTGGAACCTGTGAATGTTACTTTATTTGGACAAAGGGGCTTTGCAGATATAATGAGGGATTTGGGGATTATCCTATGTTATCTGGTTAGGCCTTAAACGTCATCACAAGTATCCTTGTAAGAGAAAGACAGAGGGAGATTCCACACAGAAGAGGAGACGACAGTGTGCTCACAGAGGCAGAAGAGGGAGTGATGTGGTCACAAGCCGAGGGATGCTCAGAGGCATCAGAAGCTGCAAGGGCCAAGGAACAGATGCTCCCCTAGGGCCTTTGGCGGGGCACAACCCTGCTGACACCTTGATTTTGGACTTCCGGGCTTCAAAACCGTGAGAGAATCAATTTCTGTCGTTTTAGCTACCATGTTTGTGGTCATTTGTTACAGCAATCACAGGAAACAAATACCCTTTGGAAATGGACTAAAAAGGTGTATCCTGAAAGCATATTTTGAAGATCAGTTGCTTCAGCTTGACATTGGCCCCAAAGCCATGAGCCTGCAGAAAGTCTTGAGCTAGTTACACGGCTCTGCAGTTCTCGTACTTCTTACCGGCACCTGGTTTGCGGCAGAGGAGAGACAATTCCCAGGGAAGTCCCATCCAAACCTGTGCTTTCCAACCACTCCACTCACCTCCTGACCCAGGAGCAACCTGGGTCTCACTGAAGCCCACATTTTTTCTGCTGGTACCCACTGTATTTTCTGCCTCGCCTTAACCCATGATGTTGTTCAGTCCCTCAGGAACATGCAAGCTCTGGAGCTACGTCCCCCCTCTCTGAGTCACGGTCCGTAGGTCTTACACCTCTTAGAGAGCTGAAAGGAGTTGTCCTCAGAATACTTGGTTCCAACTATAGTTTGGATCCTTGGAAGTGAGACTGGCCAACACTGAAACATGGCTTTTTTCATAGAGCCCAGATGGCAGCTGGCAAACCCTGAGATCCCCGGTCCATGTACAAACATGCAGGGGCTCTCTTTGCATGTTTACGCCCTAGGATAATTCTCAGAGAGGAGGAGGGAAGGGGGGATAGGTTGGGGAAAATAGTGAGAAAAGACGGTGCTTTCCAACCATTTCACTCAAACTGGGGGGTGGGAAGGGAGCATTCTTTGGTTTTATTGCCCGAGAAAAAGTTTGTCTAAATGAAATGGTCCTGTGTGGGCCCAAACAGGACTGCCCACAGCTATTCAAAAGAGAGGACCAGGGTGCCTCCCCCCCACCCCGCCCCCCTTTTTTTTTTTGCGTCTGCAAGGAAGGCTGCTGAAGTGCCTGAGGCGGGACAGCCACTCAAAGGTGAACCTGTGGCCACTTCCTAGTGCGGTGGTGCCACGCCTGGCTCTCAGGAGAGGCCAGGAACAGGGACAGGAGGCCAATTCCTCCAGCGCCTGGATCTGTGATTTATTTAGTTTGGTGGAACTTCCCTGCTCCGTTTGCCCTGGAGAGAGAGGACTGCGCGCAGAATTCCAGCCCACAGAAGCAGAGCCACTTAGGAAGCAGGCGCGAGGCGTGTGAAAGCTCCTGGGGGCCTGAAACCCTACCAGACGCGGCCGTTATTTCATCTGCAGAAGTAAATGAGGCTGATTGACTCTGACTATCACCCCAGCAAATCAGAAAGCCCCTGGCATGTCCGAGACCGCTTCTTCATTTCACACAGCTTGGCAAGGGCAGTCTTCCAGGCTCGCATATCCCTGGTGAATGTCAGGCCTGCATTTCAATCAACTTTTATTTCCAAATATACATTTCAGCAATTTTTCAGGAGCCGGGGCGAGGGGTTTGAGAGAGGAGAGGTACGGGCTATGTTACAGTTCAGGAAGGGTATAAAAGGACATTAATCATTCCCGTGGAAACCTTCCCGTCAGCAAGTCAAACTGCTGATATTAATGAGCGTGTTTCATATTTCATTGAGTCTCTCCTGGTTTCAGCTGCTCCTCATGACTCAGCTGGCAAAACACGAGGCGGTTGCCTAAGTGGTGTACGCAAGCCCTACAGCTAGGCAGTGGAGGGGCATTTCAGGGACCAGCCAAGTCCCCCCAGGCTCAGGGCACCATGCTGGTGCCAACTCGAAGCCCATCCATTATCCCTTCAGCTACTGACTGAGGACTGCGGTGGGCATGCTCAGTGGGACTCACAGCTTCTTAAAGCTCGAGGAAGCTGTGAGAGGCAGAGACTGTGGGTGTCAGTCTGGGCTCTGTGAGGGTCCCAGATGCAGAGAATGTTTAGCCAACATTGAGGCAACTAAGGAAATGAAGACGTAGTTCAATGTTAGCAGGATGCCACCGTTTATGGAAAAGAAGGGGATCAGATTCTTCGACTAAGCTGAAGTATTGATTAGCATAGGTATTCAAAGTTTGAAGGAAGGGGAAGGATAGAGGTCGAGGCAGTAATCCCCATCCCTGAGCACTTCAGCTGCAAACACATTTCTTCTCCTACAAACAGAGCCAGTTTCTCACTGCAGGATGCGCGCTATCTCTTGCCAGCGCCTGGGATGTTACCTGCTCCCTGAACAGAGCCTTTCAGGTACAGGGATGCCCGGGGAAGCCCTGAGAGGTGAGGGGTAGTTTCTGCAGAGTGCCGAGTCTGGACAAAGCTGTGCTTGTAGGAAAGAGCAGCTCCTTGGAGGGCACGTCCCCCTCTGCACTGAAGTCCCCCCTTGCATAGTGCTAGACAAGGAAGGGCTGGCCACCAACTTGGCTAAAAGCCGGGGTCCTTACTCGGGGGCGGGGAGGCCTGAGCCAGCCTCTGCCTCACTCACCGGGAAGGGCAGTCTCTCCGGTTGCAGGGGACGGGGTGCACGGCAGGGCGGACCTTCCCTGCGCAGTGAGCGGGGTTGACCTCTGTGCTGTTCAGGAGACACCGCAGGCGGGGCTGCTGAACGCCCCTGTTCCCACAGGAGGCGGAGCAGGTTGCCAGTCTGTCCACAGACCACCAGTAATCTGTCACAGAAGGTGAAAAGCAGAGAGCATTACTGCCCATGCTCTATATTTCTTCTGATAGGGCACTGGGGGAGGAGGGGGATGGTTGTCATGAATGAGCCTGGCCCCTCAGTTTATCCAGGCAAGTTATGTGGTCTCCAGAGCCCTCCGTTGGCTCACCCAGAAAATGAGCACAATAGCTCTTATATCAAGTTATTATGAGGCCTGGATAGAACGAAGGTCAAGAGCTTCGCCCAGGGCCTGGCACAGAGAGAGTATTAATCAGCGGCTGTAGCTCTTATTCTTTTTAAACATATTTCTTAAAGCACTCTTTTTTTCCAACTGGCTCACCAGAAAGTGACCATGTTTTTCAACAAGAGAGAGAAAAATATCGGAGATACTTCACAATTGTATTTAAAAGTGCAGATTCAAGTTCGACATTGTAGCTGCTACGAAAAACCAGCCTATCCAGAGAGCCCTCGATTATGTGAGTCACCGACGTAACCAGTCAGTGAGAAAGGCAATTTCTCTGCATTTTCTGTGTGGGGGGCCTGGGACTCACTGGCAGGGAAGCTGTTAAAATAACTGTGGGCTGGTAAACTGTGAGTGCTTATTTGCAAAGTTGCGTGTTACAAACCTTGCAGATAGGCTCTGGTTTCCACCAGAGAATGGCTGGCTGGCAAGACAATGGAATACTCACTTTCTTGTCTGGAAAGCCAAATGGTGGGGGAGGATGTTTAAGGGTAAAAGGGGGAGGATGTGCTCAGAAGTCTCCCTTTTTATGGGCTATATTGACATACAAGTCTGTCGCCTCCCACAGAATCCTCCATTCAGAATACACAGTGGAATTTTGCTTTCCCTCAAAGTGTCACACACCGACCACAGGTACAACCGGCCTATGGAAAACTCAAGAGCCTCCTTCAGTTTCTATGACAAGGCCAGTGATGGCTCCCCTCTCACTGTATTGGGCTCATCCATAATTTCTTGGTGCAGCAAATACCAGGCCCTGCCCAAGGGCTTTCTGAGCCGCCAGTGTTCCTGGAAGTTGAATGCACCAGCCACACAGGCTTCTCAGTCTGGTCTTTGACTGGCTCGCGGGAGAGGAACCTGGGGAGCACTCAGTGTGCGACACAGCTGAAGGCTCCAGGGTGATGGGCAGGTACCGGCACCGGCCCTGACTCTCCAGGGCAGGAGGCAATAACCAAGTGGTTCAAAATCTGTCTTATTTGGAACCAAACCAACAGACAAAATTTGCATTTTTCGTAACAGGCTACTTTACACTCAACTGTGTGTTTTCTTTACAAATTCACCCAGCGTAAAGGAAATGCATGTGACTTGGCTACAAGATGGTGTTTCCTTGGTCCCACCTATGAAAACAGCACTGACTCTTCCAGATTCTGCTGCTGTGGGGCCTGGTGGCTCTGCTGAGGGGCCTCATGGGATGGAAACATGGTTCAGTGTCAGTTTTCACATTCTAGGGACCATTGGAGACCAGAAGTCATTTCGTCCACTACAGAACTAGATTCTCAGGGGGACTCACTTGTTCAAGAAATAAGCCCAGCACCCAAAGTCCCAAGGGTTCTTACCTTGGATGATGAGAGAGGCCTTCTGCACGAGCACGCCTGCCTCGTTCTGGGCGAGGCAGCTGAATTCCCCCTGAGACTCGCTGCTTAGATTGGCAACCTGGAGAATCTGTCCAGCTGCCAAGATGTGATGTGTCAATCCTGTGACAGTGGCAACTGACTGGCCACCATGGAACCAGGTGATATTGGGGGTAGGGTGACCTTGGATGGGGCAGCCTAGAGAGGAGAGGAGAGGAGAGGTAAGCTACCGGTAAAGCCAAAAAGGGCACATTCCTGATGAGTTGTTTTAGTGTGTTTGTGGCTCTAGGGGCCCTGGGTATAACATGGTCCTCCCGGGGCATTTTTCTTCTGCTTGCCATTCCCAAGCAAACAGGAGATGTTTTTGTACTCTGGGTTTTGGGAACATGACTATTATTCATTCAATTAAGTAAAAATTCTTGAAGGACACAAAGTGCCTATTTCTACCTATGTCCCTGTACTGACTTATAAAAATGAAGCAATTAATATTTACTCATTGAACACTTTTTGGAGTTAATTAGTTCCTACACCAACTTTATAATGAAAGAAATCATTTCTTCAAATGCAGTGAGTTCGAAAAGGCACACACTATATAGTAATAGTTAAGAATCAAACTTTAGTTGGTAAAAGTCTAATATCTGCCTCCATTTTACTCTTTATGTGATTTTTTCAAGCCCAAATTTTTCAACAGAGACTAGGAAAACAATTTTAAATACTAATCTCATTTCTCTATAAGTCAAGAACCTTGGCATTCAGACAATTCTTACCAAGCCTGCACTGGACATGTACAACATCACACTTATTTACAGTCATTGAACATATTTTGATACATTAAAATTCCAAAATATTAAACGGAGATACCGTATCAACTAAAGGCTTTGTAGCATAGACTTAGCAAAATAAACTGAGCGGTTGTGAGAGAAAACTCATTTCCTCTCATTTCAGAGTTCTTGCTGAATTTTCTGTTGCGCTCCCAGCAACTTAGCTTCCACTGAAAATTTACTTGGAAGTTTAAAACACATAAGTCGTTAAAAATTAAAATATTAGAGGATTTCCTTCAGTTAAAAAAAATCTATTGGTAACTACTATTCTGGGGACAGTTAAGATTATCTTTCCTCTTGCAAGAAAATAGCCAATGACAGAGTATAAAAAAAAAGCATGCTAATAAAACTGAAATATAAAGCAGAAAATGATGAGATCTATGACACACATAGATGGCCATCTGCATGGATGTGTGTGCCTATGGGTCTGTAAAGAAAAGGGATTTTTTAGTGTTAGCTTGTTTTCTATTCTTGGGCAGCACTGTTAGAATTGGTATAGGAGGCAGATTTAACAGAGGAAAGGCCCTTAGATATCATTTAGCCCACTTCCAGAGGAGGAAACCAGGGCTCAGAGATGTTAAGAGACCTTCCCAAGGTCAACGAACAGGCCTTCTGATCCCTTGCCGTGTGTACTTGTTCAGCTGGGCACCAGCATTACCTAGGCACCTTGTTACCTACATCCTTTGTCTGCTCACTCCTTTCAGCACCTTGCCCTTTCTTTCTGCTTTTACATTTTTATTGTAATTGTGTAGGTTGAAGGGGTTGGAACAGACTACTCTGAAGAAGGGCCCCAGAAAAGTAATGCTAAAATCTGCATAGGAAGCTCAGTATAGGATATAGTGTTACAGGAGCAATTCTTGACTCTTCCCTGTATTGACTCCCTCTGCCATGTAACTGTGCAGTGCCCTCCCATGATGGGTGCGCTGTACTTCCCCACCTCCTTCCTGACCTTGGCCATGTGACTACTTTGGCCAATAAAGTGAGTTAGGTGTTACACTAACAATAAACAATCTGAAAAGGAAATTAAGAAAAAACAATTCTCCTTACAGTAGCATCAAAAAGAATAAAATACTTAAGAATTAGCTTAACTAAGGAGGTGAAAGACTTGTACATTGAAAATTACAAAACATTGCTAAAAGAAATGAAAACATGAATAAATGGGAGGATATCTCATGTTCATGGATTGGAAGATTTAATATTGTTACAATGTCAATAGTCCTCAAAGTGAACTACAGATTCAATTCAATGGCTATCAAAATCCTGATGATGTTCTTTTGCAAAAATAGAAAAATCTATCTAATAATTCAGATGGAATCTTTAGAGATCCCAAGGAGTCAAAACAATTTTTAACCAGAAGAACAAAGTTGAAGGTCTCACACTTACTGATTTTAAAACGTATAAAACCACAGTAATTGAAAGAGTACAGTACTGGCATAAAGACAGACATATAGACCAATGGGATAGATAGAAACCCCAGAAATAAACTCTTGCAGATATGGTCAAATGACTTTCAAAATGGGGGCCAAGAGCATTCAATAGGGAAAGGACAGTCTTTCCAACAAATGGTGCGAGGAAAACTGGACATCCACATGCAAAAAATGTTGAATACTTACCTGACTCCACATATAAAAATTAACTCAAAACGGGTCAAAAACCTAAACCTAAGAGTTAAAAGTAAAAAAAATCTTAGGGGCAAAGCTTCATGATAATAGCTTTGGTGAAGATTTCTTGGAAATGATGCTAAAAGCACAGATGGCAAAAGAAAAATTAGATAAACTGGAGATCATCAGAATTGAAAGCTATTGTGCAAAGGACACTAATCAACAGATTGAACAGGCAACTCACAAAATGGGAGAAAATGTTTGTAAATCATAGATCTGATAAGGCATTAATAGCCAGAATATATAAATAATTCCTACAAAAATAACAATCACAAACAACCACATTAAAAAACAGGCAAAGAATTGAATAGTCATTTCTCTGAAGATATACAAATGGCCAATAAGCACACGAAAAGATACCTGCTCAACATCACTAATTATTACAGACATTAGGATGGTTATAAAAAAAATCCAACAACAGAAAATAAAAAGTGGTGTTAAAGATGTGGAGAAATTAGAACTCTTGTACAATCCTGGGTGGGAATGTAAAAAGGTGCAGTCGCTGTGGAAAACAATATGACAGTTCCTCAAAAAGTTACACATATAATTCAGCAGTTCCACTTTTGGATATGTACCCAAAAGAACTGAAAGTAGGGACCCGAACAGGTATTTTTACACCAACGTTCATAGCAGCATTATTCATAATAGCCAATGGATGACAACAACCCAAATGTCCATCAATGGGTGGACAAACAAAATTCAGATACATTTGATGACATGGATGAATCCTGAAAACATTAAGTGAAAGAAGCCGATGCAAAAGGATAGATATTGTATAATTCCACTTATATGAGATACATAGTGTAGTCATGTTCAAAGAATAGTGATTGCCAGGGGCTGGGGGAAGGGGAAATGGGGAATTATTATTTAATGGGTACAGAGTTTCAGTTTGGGATGATGAAAAGTGGAGGCGATGCAGAGCATGATGACTACACAATAATATGAATGTCATTAATGCTACTCAACAGTACACTTAAATATGGTTAAAACAGTAAACTTTATTTTGTGTGTATCTGACCACAATAAAAGAAATGAGGCAGATGTGCTGGTGTACCAGCTCCAAACACTAGACCTCAAGAGACCTTGCGAGTCCTTGCTTGTGCTCCTGTGCTGTGGCCATTGCCAGCAGAAGAACAAGCCTGGACCGGCCTGACGATCCCAAGAGGAGGATGAGGGAAACATGGCAGACAGCCAAGTCACCCTAGACAAACCCAGTTTAGATAAGCTGAGCTAAATAAGATCAGTAAGAATAAATGACTGTTATTTGAGGCCACTGAATCTTGTTTTTCTTTCTTTTTTTAAAATGCAGTTTCTTTTTCTTCTTTTTAAAAAATGCTTCTCCTCCTTCATGGCAATAGTTAACTGATGCACTTAGGGAGAAAATAATCCTTCCAGTTCTTCTCCTTGATCCACGTGTTACATTGTAACTAGTTTATTAATATTAGTAATAGGAAGAAAGCAAAGGGGAGGCCAGACATTGTAAGCATAGTTATCTGGGCATCTTTACCAGGAAGCTGTAATTTTATACTCCCCAGGGAACCACAGGTCCATTCCCTGCAAATAACTGGGGCCAGGGGTCCAACTAAGGGGAAGATGGGCACATGAGCAGTGAAGTCGGGGTGAAGTAGGGGAGATGCCTGTCAGTCTAGCCTGGGAACCATGAATTGGCTAGAGGGGTGGAGCAACGGCAAGTGTGCAATATCCTGAAGGACTCATTGGTTAAGCTTCTAGTTAAAATCTTCAAAGAAACTTTCCCTCTCTTGTTCCTTTTGTTTCATTCCTGCTTCCTTGCACTCACTTGTTCTGGCCTGTGTGGTTCAGTGGTTGAGAGATGACCTAGGAACCAGGAGGTCATGGTTCGATTCCTGGTTAGCGCATATGCCCGGGATTCGGGCTCGATCCCCAGTAGGTGGCATGCAGGAGGCAGCTGATCAATGAGTCTCTCATCATTGATGTTTCTATCCCTCTCTCCCTCTCCCTTCCTCTCTCTGAAATCAATTAAAAAAATAAGTCATGCTTTAAAAAAAAAGAGAAATTCCTCCATTAGTAACCACTAAATTAGATGATCTTTAAGGTGCTTTTAGATTCCAAGATTCCTCAATATCATCTCAAACTCATCTCCTCCCACACCCATGTAGCCAAGGGCAAAATAGATCTATATTCGATGTATACTTAGATCAATATATAGTGAAACTGAACTATGTAAATGAAGGGCTCATGGAAGAGATATTATATTTGGAGGTTATTTACAATTAAAATAAGCAGAGACCAGGGATACAGAGTAGGAAGGGGAGGGCAGTCTAGAAGTGGTGTGAGCAAAGATGCAAAAATGAGAAAACAGGTGTTGTGGCTGGGAGAAAATACCAGTTGACTAAAACATGGGGAACACAGATGAAGCTGGCATGGTGGGAGTTGCAATGGGAAGAATGTTGAAGGCCAGAATCTGGTCTTTTGGGAGCAACTGAAGAAGGGGCGTGATGTAATCTAAATGGGCTTTAGGTGGATCAGTAAGGTGATTATTTGCAAGATGCACTGGGCTGAGAGAAAGGAGATTCTAGGATTTCAGTTCAGATGTGGCAAGAAGTGAGACATATTTGTCAAGGTTGCTCTGACAGGATTTGAGCAGGAGAGTGGTGGAGATAAAGAGGAGAAGCTAAAGATACTGCAACACTAGAGGGACTACTAATAGAATTAGGTAAGTCAGGAAAGATGGGTA